CGCATGAAAAATTATCTTTTATTGTTTAACTGGTATTCCAAAGTGTAAAAACTCATCCCATGTAACGCGTATCAGAATTAATTTAAATTAAATGAATTAAAAGATAAATCAATTTTATTAACATTTTTTTAAATTATGATAATAAAAAATGACTTCGCAAATTTGAAAAGGATTTTGCTAGTCGAGCGATTGTAAAAAATTATGATAATGTCAGTGTTGATGAACGAGAGTTCTCACGATATTTTTTGTTTTGCATCGTGATATCACAAACGATTATTTGCCATTCAATAATTTCCATCAGTATTTCATCATTAGCTTTTATTACATATTCTTTTGTTATACAGTTTTATTATAATATGTGGAATTTACCTCATGGATTCTTTTAACAAAAATTAACCATCAACTTTTTTGTGAGTTTTAATATTTTTAAATTGTATTAAATTTTGATATATAAATTTATTTTGATTATGCATACACACACACACACACACACACACACACACACACACACACACACACACACAATAAATAATTATATAACAATTAATACATATATAAACATACATATATTTAAAATTATGGCATTATACTTTCTAATATAATTTAAAATTTGCCATAAATTTTAACATAAATTATTGTCACTCTCTAGATGACTTTTTTTCATTCTTGTCCAATTTTTTTATTACATTAAATCTGTATCCCAAATTAGATTTAAGTGACTTTGAATAGAGTTAGATTTAAGTGAATTCCAAAATAATAAATAAATATCTTATAAAAATTACAAGTTTTTTATTGATTCATTAAATGTAAATTAAAGATCTACTTACAAGAGTGATGTTTCTTTAGATTGACCGATGTCACACTTTCGCAACTCAGTAAATCGCGAGAGCGATTAATCAGACCGTCCAGACAGATGATGATGCCAGATATAATTTATAAGCGGCATATGCGCGATATATTTGCACAACGACCTGAGCCGATTAATTAAATTTTTCCATACGGTATATTGATAAATAATAATTTCAGTGGAGATTTTCCATTGGTCGAGACATAACTGCATAGCATAAGTGAAAAAGAACAGTTTATGCTCCTACATGTTGCATAACACTTGCCATCGTACATCTAACATATCCAATATCCGGTTAATATGCCCTTACACTTACTTATTTTTTTCTTAAGAATTTTAAACAAATTGAAAACAATAAAAAAAATTTATTAAAGTTAAGTGAGTTGTAAGAAACTTTAAAGCATTTAAAGAATTGAAGCTTCAAAACTTGATCTTTCCAGAGATGCATCTTTTTTTATTATCTTTATACAGCACATCTTAATGCGCGCATGATTTATTAGAAGTCTCATTGTTAGAAGTCATCATGAAAAATGAAAGAATTAAAGCGAGAGCAATCAATGTAATCTTAACAATGATCGATGCTACAATGATCAATTCTTCGATCGTGATACGGGATCCGTCAATGTCATTAAAGCGTTACAATGTGCTTTTTGCATTGAAGCGGCGCAATTTTCCTATCCTCGAATTGCGAATTGCATAATTCTGCGCGTTTTTCCGTTTCCTAGAAAAGCGCATAATCGTTCTTTATTCGCACTATCGTGACGAATCTATCTAATTGTTCACTTAATTTTGCGTGTACAATTATCTGTATGTACAATACAAATTACTACCTGTTTGCTATTTTCCAAAAAAGCTTGTTAGCTTAAGAAGATTTCTATCTTTCCTCTCCGAAAAATAATGCAATCACAATCTTTCTATGTCGCCGCATTTAAATAATTCGTTTTTGTCGTATTATAAATAACGAAATAAATCAAATAATTATAAATTATTCTAATCACGGAAATACATCAAGGAAGAAATACAACCGAAGTTTATCGGAATCAATCTGCATTCTTTAGATCATTTAAATTTGTAATTTCTGGCGATTAATATATATCTGAATTTACATATTTTATATAAATAATTTATTTTATATAAATAATTTGAATTTTATATATAAATAATTTAACTTTAATTTTGTAATTTTTTATAAGCAATGTGTCCAGTGGAATTGATAATTGATAGCATTTCTTACTTTTCTTCGGGCCACACCTTGCAGACTCTTACAATAATTTCAATGAGCTTTCAACGTGATATTAGAATCATATTATATCTTCGATCGATCTTCAGATTGACGATATATGACTCAATGTTTCGTTAAATTTCATTTTAGTGTCACTATATGATAAAATGAGCTCTCGTCCCCAACCATCCCCAACCAACGAAATACACATTGTCGCCCATATCTGCGATCGAGCCCAGAAGAATTGAAAGAGAAATCAAAGGGAGATTTTTACACACGTTTCATTATACCAATCTGCCAATTTGCACTCGCATTTATTCGCGCGCTCAAATGAAAGACGTTCACGAGCGCCGCGGCGATACATCCGGTCCTCTTGATATCATGCAAAACTCTAGTCTCATTAAGTGCCATTACGATCGACATGCCGGGATGCAACACACGCGACGATGCGACGCACGTGGAGTATTCATCGCGGGATTACGTATAGAGGCTGCACAGACGTAATTATTCTCATGCGCGAGAATGCAACGCGAGTGCAGCAGCAGCGGCGGCGGCGGCGGCGGCGGCGGCGGCGGCGGCGGCGGCGCTAATTGCGGAAGTTATTTACTGCGGAGTAGCTTTGTCGCCGCGTAACGACCCAATTAATGCCGTTTAATTACTATCTGTTGCGGTCGCATGGTTTCCGACGAGGGAGCCGAGGGCCTTCCTTTCCTCCGATAGCACAATGTTTATCTGCCTCGCGAGTAGCGTCGATAAACACTGATAACGTTGAGATAAAAAAAACATACGTGCATACCATTATTTTCTCAGCGGGGGGACCGTAAAGATTAAGAGAAGCGAGAGGATTTTAATTTAAGTAATAGAATTTAAGTAATAGAACTAATTTGGAGAATAAAAAGTTAATAGAATTTTGTTTAATTAATTGAGTGGGAATGTGTGAATCGAATTAATTTATTTGGCAAATTATTAACGTATCACGGATACGGAAAAATGGCTTTATTTATTTATTATTAGGTTAATGGATTTCTTCAAAATTTCTGGTTTTAAATTTATGGTTTGTCAGCTCTTTGACAAATTTTGAAGCTCGTTCTTTCGTAATATTTACATTGCAAATAAAAAAAGAACATGGTGCGACAAAAATGTGGCGCACGTTCCGACTTTTGATACACTCGATTATGTTTATTTTTTCTTCGTTCCGAATTAACCGAGGCTTTAAAAAATTCGCAGGTGTTCTTTGTGTTGCCGAGCGCCTTATTGACTTAATGCACGTCACGTTGAATTGAATTTTTGTAACGAAAGAGATCGCCTCTCACGCCCACGCACGGACGTAAAACGTCTCGTAAAAGCGCGCAACTCTTCATCCGGTGGCGAAAACGAAAGCGAGAAAAGAGAGAGGGAGCCCGAAACCAACTTAAATGGTTCACTGACACACAGTACCATCCATAAATTCGCAAATACGAACGGGATTTAAAAATAAAACGTACAAACCGACTTATTAATTATATCATATCACACAGGCTTAAAACACGTGTAAACTGGTTTACAAAATCGCTGGATTTCCGCTATTCGCGTCGACCTTCTCCACTTTGCATATCTTAATGCATTAAAACGCGCATCAATTCGCCATTTCTGTTAATAATATTTTTTTATACATTTTATTTTACCTTTTCAGATTAGCATTACCTATATCCTTTACTTTTCAAATTATTCACTAACTGTCCGTTTTCGGCTATAGTCGATGCGATTTCAATAGATAAATAAATAAAAGATCATTACCTTCAATAAACAAATTAAGTAATAAATAATTAAATTACGTCTAAAATCGCCGGAGTGCGGAATTCAAGGTGGAAGCAGACAGGAAGTTGCTCGCCGAACGTATTTTGTATAGATCCCACGATCATAATTTTAACGCATAATTATATAAGAGTGTAAATTGCAAATTAATGTGCATATGTTGTCCGTTAAAGGTCATCTATCTGCTAAATCAGGTTTGCGAATTCATGAATGGTGCTGCATACGCGCGCGCAAGGCGACGCGACGCGACGCGACGCGACGCGACGCGACGCGCCGTTACCTCATCGTGCGTAACGCACGTGCGTCACACGCGCTAAACGTTTACACGTGACATTTAGCGGACTTAGCTGCACATTTCCTTAAGTTATTGTTCTAGTTATTGTTTCGTCGCGGCTTCCCCATTATATGGCAATTAATCGAAAGAGCAAATAGATGCGTTCAGTAAACAAGGAAACAACGATGATGTTGAAGAACGTTACAAATGAACATTCACACAGGATATTTTTTATCGGAAGGAATATGTAATTAAAAAAATCTTACATGTAAATTTGGAATATTACATATAAGAGCTTTCTTCGAGGATAAAAAATGCAAAGCTTAACATTTATAATTTAAATATTAAACAATTAACAATTAACAAATTAAACAATGCGAACTGCCGTTGAATCTTACATTATAATTTATTAAATGAACCCTTTCGCAAAATTTTATTAAATTATCTAAGACTTGATTACCTCTACTTAATCTATCTCGGCAATTATTCCAATTTAATTTAACGCAAAGAGCTACGCTGACTTCATAAAAAACTTTTTTAATATCGTAACTTAATCCGTAACTTAATCGTAACGTAAGATCTCTTGGCCGCGTGTCAAGGGCACACGCCGTGGATCCTGACTGATTCAGAGTGACAGGATCGACATGGTTGTTGGTCGTATCCCGTATTGTGCAAACTACGTGCTTCTCCTCTTCTCTTCCTTCCTCAATAAGATTTCGAACGGACGCGGATCGACAGCACGCTTGGCTGGGGGGCTGGGGGCCCCAGAGGAAGAGGAGATAAGAGGGGCCTTCAAGCGCGCGCGCCGCTTCGGGGAGAGGGAGGACCCGCGCCGCCGGTCGGCGAACGCAAGCGATATATGAAGGCGAAACTCGCGCACGTCGCCCAGAAACTCTCACGTGGTGTGCACCACTCGCGGAATAGCGAGTGAGGAAGTGCGGTCCACCGGCTCTTCATGCTCTTCGGGGTGTTCTCCAAGTTTCCCTCCCCCCACGTCGTGCGAAACGAACACGTCGCTATCGTCGAGGATCGGTGAAAAGTATACGAGGAGGAGGTTCCTGTCTGGAGGAAGGAAATTGAGAGGAATAGGAGGAACTCGTTGTCCTCGTTGTGGAGAACGTCGATTTTCTCCCGGGGAGATTTAGGGGAAGATCCGAAGTGGTGGACCGCGAGTGGTCGAAGAGCGATCTCTTATCGGGGTGATCATGAGCAAACCGTGGAAAGGTATGTGAGATGAGGAGGAGGAGAAAGAGCTTTGAGTTGCGTTAACATGTTGATGTTCTTGCAAAATGTTTTTTATATCGAACGTGTCACATCGAGAATTGCGATTGAGGAAATAGGACTGTGCTATGTGAACTTGATCGCTTAATTTATTTCTTTCTTATATAATTAGACTTATATATTTGATTTTGTTATAACACACATGGATGATTTCAAAAGATCTATCGTTTATCTTACAGGTGTATTTTATTTTTAAAAATATCTATGATTAGGTTCTTAAGTTTAATCAAGAAGAAATAGGATTTTGTTAAATAAAGTTAAATAATAGAAAATTATTTACATTATAAATTGGTGACCTGAAGAATTCAGTGCCGATTTTTGTGCCCATAGATAAAACGTAAACAAAATAAATGTTACAATTATAGATTTATTTATTACGTTGCTTGTAAAAATATATTATAAGTAAGCTTGTAAAAATATATTATAAGAATAAGTTCAAGAATGAAGCTCAAATGCGTCTTAAGGAATAGAATTACATATTAGACGGTTTTTTTATCAACTCTTTACGGTTGGATTTTTATCTCGAACGTGCCGTATAAAAAAGAGGAAGTAGTCGATCAATGATAATGTTACGTGCAAGAACGTAGAGATTCAAGGTAGCATTCATGACGATGCATGTAAACCAAGATATGCGTCGTTTGCTAGCTAGATAGTAAATTATTCAGGCAAACCGCGCACGATCTTTTGTCATCGTAATCCGAAACACAACCGATATACAAGACGAAAAAATTACATTTCTCATTTGCGGTTTTTTTCTTCTTTTAACTTAAAACGTACCCCCATTGAAAATTTAATTCGTGCCTTTAGTGCCTTCTAAAAGATTAGACAGAGAATTAGACAGAAAATAACAAATCTTAAAAATAGATTAAAGAACTTTTAAATGTTAAAAATTGAAAACTGCTATAAACTTTTTATATCTCAAAAACATGATTAAATATATAAAATTAACAATCAAATCAAGTAAGAAATTGAATGTTAATGAAATTTATTGAGATACTATATATGCAACAAAAATATAATAATACAATATAATAATAATAAAATGTAAAGATATATGCGAAAAATTCAAAAATACAAATTGCATTAGATTAAGCTGTTAAAAATGTAAATGTATTTTATAAATCAACGAGTTAAAAGTATGCTAATATTTAATAATTAATATTTGCGGAATTATCACTCGCGGACGAATATTGTTTCGCAATGAACGACCTACTTAAAAGTAGTTTGACGTCCAAAGATATTTCGGGAAATTCCTCGCGATAGTACATCGAACATGTCTTAACTTTCATCTTTAATTAATATCAAACACATTCGAACGCTTTATCGCGGACGTCTTAATCACGCCTTTCAATCACAATTGTGTAATCCACTCCATTGCATTTTAACAAACGATTAAACATATGTTTCTTACATTTGATATCTTGATAAAGATATGATAAGAATTTATTAGTTTCTCCTTAGTTATTCGCTCATCATCTCTTTTTACTTGTACTTATTTAAACTACTGTTATAATAGATGAAATTATAATAATAATAAACAAATGTTGAATAAGAAAATCACACTTAATAAGAAATGATTAACAAAAACATTTAAGTTAACAAAAAATTTAATAAATTTAATAGACTGAAAATTAATGCTTTACAGTGTAAATAATAAGCTATAAATTAATAAAGTATAATCTACTTTTAAAGAGACAATAAATTTACAATCTTTGTAAATAGACTACTAACATTTTTATTATCTTGCAATCCAGATAAATCTGCTTGTTCAAATTATGTTACACTTAATTTTATTTCTTTTTATCTGTCTCTCGCTGGTCTTAGGTACAGAACGCAAGAAGCACGCGTTGTGAAATTGGATGAGAGTTAATTTTCTTAACCGAGCAGATTATACCATCGTTGCGAAAATTGAAGTTACGAAAGTTAGACGTAGATTAATTTCTTCAAGTTCTTCGGGAAATGGTTCGGATCGCATATTGGATCTGACTCTTTGATTTTCCTTCGCAGGCATGAAGGAATTCGTTGGCCTGGAAGAGGTCACCAAGCTCGACTTCCTGGTGATGCTGTTCGCCGAGATTCTGGGCACATTTCTGCTCGTTCTCATAGGCTGTGCTTCCTGCATCACGTGGGCAACGTCGCCGAATGTCTTGCACATCGCATTTACCTTCGGCCTCGCAGTGGCAAGTTTGGCGCAGGTGAGTCACCATTGTCCTCACTATAAAAAACAAACATTTCATAGAAGAAATTAATAATGAAAATAAAAATACAAAAATACAAACTCCGGATAAACAAGAGAGGTTCTAAATTTAATATTCCCAATTCCCAATTGAAAGATTTCGAACTCAAACAGTTATGCACTTAGAAATTTTTTATGTAAATTCATTTATTCATTTATCTATAATTTAATTATAATTTAATATTCAATAATAAGTCTAAGATATAAATCAGATTTTAATTTTAGTCATAATGTGATAACATAAACGTAAAGATAAATTATTTGTAACGAGTAGCTTCATAAATATCTCACGATAAAAATCGATAAGATTTAAAAATATTTCTGCTCTTAAAAAGTAAAAATTCTCTATAGACAGAATTCTTTTTGACTTCTTATTTTATTCTTCCTTCATCGTTTGAGTATTTCCGTCAAAATAAATACAAATTTATACATAAAAGACATTAGAAAATTGTGATAAAAATATATAAGAACGCAGATTCGTTCGTCCATTATACTCTGCGAATTCTTTTAGTCGTAAAAAATGTGTTCATGTATGTACACATATGCCTCGACCTTCTTTAAGTTAGTCTCCTCAAATATTTTCTGCTTTTTCCGATTTTTTGTTCTTACAAAGAAACACGTGATTTTATCAATTAAAATAATCAATTCATACGTTATATGTAATCAAATTTGAGTTAAATAAAATCGTTATTAAAGAAATAGATGTATGTCTGGTAGCTTCTTTAAGCATCTTAAGCAAAAATGTCTGAAAGCAATCTTCATTAATTATGATTCGGACCTCTCAATTAATTCGCATTGCAAAATACAATTTGCAAAAAAATATATTTCTTTGTAGAAAGTACAAAAGAGGATAATTTTACAATAAATTTATAAACTGAAGAAATTTCGCACAGCGTATAGGAGAAGTCTAAAAATACCAAAGCAAAAGTAGTATTAGTTCTTACGACGACATTTCAAGTCCGCTCGGAAATTTGCATTTAACAGAAAGACACGAAATAAACACGTATCATCACGTCACGATTAATAATTAATTCACATATCTTTATTTTTTTGTAGAATTCACAAAAACCTGCTTTTTCCGCTGCCAAATGAGCCATATCGATCATGATTATGTTGAATGTTCGCTGAATGATCGAAGATGCGCTTTTAAAAAAAACATTATGAATATAGAGTAGATTTATAACAGCAAATTTAATTAATTTCACAAAAACTTGAAGCATATCTTTCATGTAAATAACAAAAACAAAACTTTATTTATGTTTTTGTTTATAATAAGATTTACGTAAAATTAATTATTTATTGATCATATTAATTATTAATTCTCTTACAATCCTTAAAATTAATTTCATTTTGTATTATGTATATGCAAGTTATGACACATGCTTTTTTTAACGCCCTGTATGTCAAGCACTCCAAAGTGGGGATTCCATTCACCTCGCTTAAATTTTGCGACTCGTTTGTCTAGTCACTCTTACTCTCGTCCCATGAATCGATTTTTTTCAAGAGGTTTACTACATTGTAATTTTAAAGCGTAATTTATTATTAATGTGTATTTTTAATGTTAATATGCAAGTAATATTAAAAGATAAGGAGAAAATTAGGCACTAGATTGATGTTATTGGATCGTAAATTTTCTTCATGAAAAAAATCATGGATATTTTGGTCATTTCTTGCGCTAATCTGCTTATGTAAAGTATGCGATCCAAATCTAAATCATCGTTCTGCAAAGATTTAAAGAGAAAAGAAGATAAGATAATCACCGACGGAACGAGGTAATCTTTAATCGCGTTTCGATCGAGATAGAAGACCGATACTTCTCTCTCTCTCTCTCTCTCTCTCTCTCTCTCTCTCTCTCTCTTTTCTCTCTTGCTTGGACATCGTGGAGGATATGCTCGTCCGTAATATTACGCATGATTAATTCTTATCGGTAGCGATCATCTGGAATATCTCATTACGATATTGCGAAATGGCCGTTCCTCATTCAAGAGTCATTTTCCTCAATTAAAATTTTCTTTTCCATCTCATGCATCTAACATCTTTTGCTCATTATATCAATTGTTTTGTCATTTCAATTCTTTTCTTTTTATACATCTTGTTATGTATGTCGAATTAAGAACAAAGAAAAATACATATATTATATGCGATATTAAGAAGACAAAAAGAAGAAGATTAATAATTAAATATTATAATAAAAGGATTTATAATATAGCATGTTATCATATAACAATAGTAATAATAATTAAAATAACACTAACGAAGATACTCAGATACTTTTTTTCTATTTTTATGGTTTGCCAAAAATGAAAGACTTAGAAGAGTCGAGAGTTTCGGATTTCGCTACTGTTTGCAATCAATTTTTCATAAATTCCATGCATTTCCACCTGAATGAATCTTGCGATTGCACGACACGAAAGAATCATCTCTCATTGAGACGGATTAATAGACGAGAAAAAATGGGAGAAGATTATCCTTAAATCGCGCTCGTCCTTTCGAATTCGCGAGCTGACCTCGTCCTCGAAACAATTTATAGCACACTGCTCTGTCGACACGCGAACTTTCGGCGAACGGCCGCCGGTCGATTCGTGAAGAGCACTCGAGCGGCCTCCTTTGTATCAATCAAAATCCACGCGACGTGATCACAGAAGATGAATGGTCACCTCGTTGACTGACTCGAATATTTCGGGTGATTGTAATCGGGCGTGGGAAGCTTACGATAAATTGTTGTCCCAAATGGGATGACCTAACAAATTTCATTCGTGAATATAGCGAAAACAAAAGTAAAGAAGTAAAATGATTTCTAATTAGCACTTGCATTAATAAATATAAACCAATGCATAATAATAAGCATAATAAAGCATAATAAAGATAATTTTCTCTTTAACTCGCTCAGTTCCTTTCTCCGAGGAAAAATTTAAAAAAACAATACGTCTCTTATAAATTACGATAAAAAATTAAATTATAATTAAATATATTACTAAATAATTACTGCATAATTAAATAATATAAAACAATTAAAATTATTATAGTATGTATAAATCATGAGCAAAGTAATAATTTTCTTAGATTCATTTGATATAACTTATCGTGCTGATGGATGCAAATTTAATCTCGTTTTGGGACCGGTTTTTCTTAATCGAAACCATCGATCGTCCGCTGTGTTGATCATTTTTCCCCATGTACGATCTGTTTTCCACCGTCAATCTGTGCCTCTCGTGAAAGGATCGTGAACTTCAGTTTAGCGGCGACGTTTTAATTGACGCACGCGGATGCATGTGTGGGCTGCCCGGACCCCGCATGGTGGAAGGGTAAATAAGGCCGCCGGTTCGCCCAAGGGGGTCTAACTTCGTCCGGAGATGGTGCAACCGTACCCTGGGGGCTTCTTACAACCTACTCGAGAGCTCCTGAGCTGGAACCCGAGAGACTAGCGTTCCACTATTATTCCGCCTGTGCGTCGCCCTTTTGATACTTTACTTTCCGAAGCCTGCGGCACGGATGTGACTACACGGTGCTCTAAAAATCGCTTAGAGAGCGATTCTTTTTCTACTCTTTAAAAGAGAGAAGGAGGGAGGTAGATAATGAGATTCGAACTAGTCAGATTGATCGTTGCATCGTCTATCGATTTTTAATCGAGAGCAACGATTGAAGGACGATAGAGATTTAAAAATCTATTCTTTTTTTAATTATGCGTTTACGTTTACATTATTATTTTTACTGATTATATAGTCTTCTCTCTTTATACATCTTTTTTTTAAATTTAGATATTCTTATAAAATTTCCTAGATATTTCTTGATAAAGTTGATTTTATATTTTATTGCCCCTTTAAAACTTAGCGTTTTAATACTTTTAAAATGAAAAGATTAAAATTTCTCATTTCTCCTAATAACCTAACAACGGTGAATTTACCTCAAAATTATAGAACAAAAATTTCGCAATATCTTATTTTGCAGTATCATTTTCTAGTAAAGAATTATCTACACTTTTTTATTTATATTTCTATACGCATTACACATCTCTTTCCGCACAACAATTTGTATCTTTATAAGTTTCTGACATATCAATGATCTGGTCTCTAGAATTAAAATGATATCTCCCATTCTGCCAACTCCGACATCCAATTATATCTCAATATCGTATCATAATCGTCTTACAGCATCGTTTAGCCACGCGTCGCCTCCTTCAAATGGCGACTCAATCGAAAATTCTCCGCTCGAGATCTTAGACACGTTCTCGATCCGACAGCTCCATTCAGTAAAGAAATTGAATGCCAAACGTCTCTTTCGCTCTAATAGACGATATTGTCTCCGATATTAGCGATCGAGGCTTGTTTGCTCGTTATACCAATCGCTTTGCACAGCCGGCAAAGTGAGTGTTGAGGAACAAACGCGTTAATGACAATTGCATAGTCGCGGTATTATTTATAGGTCGCGGTTGTCTTTCCATCGCGGAATATAAAAATTATAATTTATACAAGTGCGCTGTGCACCGACCGATCGCCGTTCAATAAGGCTGCTATTGATGGAGAAACTTAAGTGGCTTTTCCCTTAGTAGTAAATAGAGAAAGAGAGAAACTTGGACAAACGACGCGTTATGAGCGTTGAAAAAATATTGGAGAGAGCTCGCATGTTTATTTAGATGAAATAATTGAGATAGAGAGATAATTACCGTGGATCTGGTGCACGATGAGAGACGTTCTCATAGCATACCGGTTGCATCAATACAGTACAGGCTTGTTATGCGATTAAAGGAGTATATTGATTATTTAAGAATTAAAACTAATAATTAATAACTAATAATTACGTGTTTTTACAAAATATATAAAATTTAATAGAAACGTGTAATTTAATATTTTTAATAGAACTTGGGCTGAAAAATATTAAATATTACCTTTTATATAACATTAACATTAAATTAAAATTCAACGTAATTTAAAAAACATTTGTGATTTGCATATATGGAGA